ACCCAAATCCTAAAAAAAAAAAAAAAAAAAGAATCATGGAGATGGCGCGGGATCAGGTGGTGTTTCGTTCTGCTGTACATGGCGTCCCTATGAGTCAGAAACGACTCGACGGCACCTAACAACAACAACAACATCAGAGGCTGGCAGGCCCATAGAGCCAAGTGGGCATGCTTTTCTAACTGACTCGATGCAGAAGAGTGGCACTGTGGAAGGAAAGCCATCAGTGGAGTTCAACAGACCTGGGTTCTGATCCCAGCTCTTCTGCTTGCAAGACTACCATAGTTCAAGGAGGGGGAAAAAAAAAAGTAGCATAGTTCAGAAAGACTAGGTCTGTTCTAGGAGTTGATCTTCTCATCTGAGCAGAATAGAAAGGTCAGGAACTCTTTAAGGGCAGAAAGTAACCTTAATGTCCCCATGCCTAGCATAATACCAGGGACATACCTAGTGCTCAGTAAATATTTGTTGACTCAAATAGAGGGTTTGGAAGGAAGGAGGCAGGGGAAGAAATTGAAGGAGTTTAGATTTGAAAATCCAAGGGGAGACAGCCCAGAAAGAGTGGATCCAGGACAGAGACTGCAGGCATCTGAAAAATGCTCCAGAGGAACAGTGTGTTGTGACTTTAAATGGCTTCAGCGTTGTCAATGAATCTGCTCTGCTAAAAGAGTTATCCTCTGGCTCCTGCACTTGGCCTCCCCCTCCTCTCAGCTCCCCAAACCCTTCTCAGCCGCTGTGATGGGATAATTAGATGCGAGAGCTCAGCACAGATGATGCTCCAGTTGCTTAGCAACTAATGGTTTCCATGGAGACCGCAAAGCACAGCCTCTAGAGCAGCCAGTGAGCAGCTCGGCAGGGCAGGGAGAAGACGCAACTCTCTGCTCCTCCAGAAACCTGGGGAGGGCCAGAGCTGGTGAAGGGGGAGGACTGGAGGGAGAAGGGAGGGCTTAAAGGCACAAGGCCCTCTTATCCCTTTAAAATCTGATCAGAGCTTTGCCCTCCTCTACCCCACTCTGTCCCTCTCATAATTTCAGACTAAAATGAGAGCGCAACACAACCCACCCTGCAAAAAACTCTTCTCCTATCTCCTTCCTGGGTTGTGACTGAAGTGAAGAGATACCCTCCACCTCAGCTCAAGTGTAAAATCCTTTCTTGTTAGTGATGGGATTTGAGGAGCATCAGGAAGATTATCCCGCCCCTGGAATTCACGTTAGTGTGCAAGTTACCTTTAGTGTGCAAAAGGTCGTCTTTCAAGTTTTCAGAGTGTGGAATAGGATCTTATCTGAACAGGGACAAAAGGTACAGAAAACAAAGAATTCAGTTCTTCACCAGAAGGCAGTCTATCCTGGGAGACTAGGGCGAAGCACCTGCCCCTGCTCCGTGTGTGTGTGTGTGTGTGTGTGTGTGTGTGTGGCAAATACTGAGCATCTGGTGACTTATGTCTGGTCCTCCCAGACCAGCACCATCAAGACTACTTGGCAACTCCTTAGAAATGCAAAATTTCAGGGTTCACCTCAGACCCACTGAATCAGAAACTACATTTTAGCAATGATCCCTGGTGACTCATATGCGCATTAAAGTTGGAGAGGCACTGGTCTAAGACTCTCCTACACTCTCCTTGGGCCCCTGGGTTCTATCTTTACTGTTGTCCCTGCTTGCATCCCAGGCCTTAAGTTTTTCCTTCCCACCATGGGGGTGGGGGTAGAGGGTTAAGACACAACTTCAGCAGCCTCTCCCTGCCCTACCAGGACCCAGCCCTTCCATGGCTGGGGAAGACAGAACAGTTCTTGAAGCAGAGAGACAAAGAGGTTCGCTAACCTCTCCTCACAAAGCTCAACTTTTCCCAAGTGACCTCACCTCTTAGTCTGTTTCCACAGCTACAAAAGGAGGAAGTCACCAATACCTACCTCTCAGGCTGGCTGTGAGGACCCAGTGTGCCGGAGCAGGCAGAGCCCCAGCCCAGGCTCAGAGGAGGGGTTTCCTGCTCATTCTCCTCTCCCTCTGGTCACACCCCTCCCTCCCTTGTCTCTAATCAGACAGACACAGGGGCGTGGGTGGGGGATGCAGCTGTGGCTCTCTTTCATTTCTCCTTACCAAGGGTCTTTTTCTTCTTTACTCTCAATCAGTTCAACAAATGGTTGCTGACCAAGGCTCTCGATGCTCCCCTCTTTCCCCCAACACCCCTGTGGGGTAGGTAAGTGTCCACTCTCTGGTCTCTCTGGTGCCTCCTCAGGCATCCCTTGACCACACCCTCCAGAGGAATCTGAAGCCTTAGGCATTTGGCCTACCTCTGCTCTAAGCCTACGGCACAGGTTCAGGTCTTCCTGGCACTGACAGGCCCTCTCCCTCATCTCCCAGAACTGCAGGACCTGGGCCTTAGTCAACACCAAGAACTGGAACCCTTGGCTCCCCGCCCCACCCTTACTACCAGTCTCAGTTTCTCTCCCATTCTTTCCCAGCCAAGGCCCTTTCAGGAGCCCCTCAGCCTTACTCTAATCATTGTGAACACTAGGGCAACCTCAGAACATGCAACTTTCGACTCCACTGCTGGGTGGGGATGGGATGGTGCAGTCCTCTAACGCCATCCTCCAGATGTACATGTGCTGGGAACGTTCTGTGCCTTGTGCTGCTCCCAGGAGAAAGGGGGATTCCCACCTTCCACCATAGTCATCCTACACTTCTGCAGCTGACCGAGTCTTTGGGATCCACACTGGGCATTCTGCCCCTCTCCCCTCCAGGACAAGCTCCCCATCCTGAAAAACCTGTCTGGGGGCTCCCCCTGAGGCTGTAGGGCCCAAGGGGCAGGTTGGACAGGATTCCCCTCCAGCCCCTCCCACCCCTAGAACAAAATCAGCCACCCCAGGGGCAGGGCTTCACTTGCCTCACGAAGCCATAGCCTGACAGCACCCTTTCCAGCTTCCAGCCCAGCCATCACCAGCCATGGCATTCCCGCAGCTGGTCCAGACCTTACCCTTGGTACTGATTCTGTTGGCTGTCCCAGCCCCAGCAGCTGCAGGTCTCTGGGAAGGGGGAAGTGGAGGGTTGGGAGGTGTGGGAGTTGGGGGGTGTGGGGGTTGGGGGGCTGGATAGGAGGTACTGTGCTTTCCAGGGCTATCAAAGGGGAAGTGGGGGGATGGTGGTGGCAGTGAACAGGCATCAGACACTGGGCCCAGGGCACACTCCTGTTCCCCTTCCAGATCCAGGATGCAGAGTGTGAGGAAGGGTGGGGTGAGGTGGGTGCTGCTCTGCTCCTGGCACTCACTCTGGCTAGTGGACAGAGTGGAGTATGCAGCTTTTGCAGCCCAAGCCTGCCACCTGGTGGCCAGACCAGCACCAGCCCGGCTGCTCTAAGGACCAAAACCCAAATCCACTGCCGTGAGTGGATTCCTGACTCATAGTTACCTATCCTGCCAACGAAGGACTCTGCATTCTCAAAAATGGCTCTAGGGGAGACAGGCCAGATCTGATGATGGGGAGGGGAGCTGACCCCCACCTGAACTCCCTCCTGACCTCCTGACAGACTTCAACATCTCAAACCTCTCTGGTGTGCTGTCCACCGCGCTAACGGAAAGCCTGCTTATTGCCTTGCCCCCCTGTCACCTCACAGGGGGTAATGCCACGCTGATGGTCCGTAGAGCCAATGACAGCAAAGGTGTGCTACCCCCTCCCAAGGCATCCCGTTTGTCCCCAAAGACCCCTTCCCAGGATACTCCCACCTCCGTTCCCCCATTCATGGCTTCCTGTCAACCCCTCTACCAGGGCATCCACCCTCTAAATGCTGCCCCTTCACCTTAAGGGCCTCCAGATACTTTACCTTGCCTTCCATTCCCAATTTCCTATCCAGTGGTAAAATCCAACTTCGTGGTGCCTCCATGCCGCGGACGCAGGGAGCTGGTGAGTGTGGTGGACAGTGGGGCCGGCTTCACAGTCACTCGGCTAAGTGTATACCAAGTGACAAACCTCGTGCCAGGAACCAAATACTAGTAGGTACCTGCACTGGGCCTGGGGCACCTGTTGTGGTGGAGGAGAGTGAGTGTAGGAAGAGGAAGCTGGATACTGGCCTTTGCTGGTGGTGGAGGGGATGTGGTCAGCATGAGGGAGAGAATGAGGACACAGTTACAGGATATAAAGAATGGACCTCTCTTGGAGGAGGGCGCATATGGAAGACACGGCTATGAAGTACCTTCCCACAAGTTCCAGTTACTCACTGAGTATTCCCTCCTTTCACCCCTGAAAACCCTCCCACAAAAGTATTTCCTACCTAGTGAAGAAGGGGACATCGACTGAATCCAGTAAAGAGATCCCAATGTCCACACTTCCTCGTAAGTAATGTACCCTATCCCTCTCACTTCTCAGGACCCAAATCCCCCCATAACACCTCCTTTGGTCCCTGATCATCCACCCCTCACCCCCACCTCTGACTTCCTCAGCCTCTTCCATCCCTCTATCAGCACTGAGCACTTGGCATTTAACTATTTCCTCATTTGCCTACTCACTAAACTGGAAGTTCTTTGTAAGTAGAGATTGTGTCCTATTAATTTCTGTATCTTTAGTGACCAAATAAGAGGTATTTCATAAATGTTCATTTGATGCTTGTTTGGATTCATTGATTCATTGGCTGGTTGGTTGGTTGAAGGAATACATGGATGAATGGATAGATGATTGATTGAATGGATGAGGGGCCAGGCTAAGAGGCCCGAGCAGGATAGGACATCTGCTGCCCACCAAGACCTTCCCTCTTTTTTCTCTGACAGGAAAGAAGATGGAGTCCATTGGGTTGGGCATGGCCCGAACAGGGGGCATGGTGGTCATCACAGTGCTGCTCTCGGTTGCCATGTTCATCCTAGTTGTGGGCTTCATCATTGCCCTGGCACTGGGTGCCCCAAAGTAAAGAGGTCAGCGTTGGTCAGCAAGCTCCTCCAGGAAGGCCAGGGCACTGTCAATTTTCCCAGTCCAGGGCTTTGTTTTTAGATCCTGCTTCCTCTTCTGAAAATACTGCCCCTCCCAGGCTTCAGTCACCAGCGTTCAAGTCCTTCAGTCCTTTCATCTCCCCTTCCTTGCCCCCTCTCCACGGAGCCCTTTCCTCACTCCATCTCTTCTTGTCCCTAGTGCCTTACCTTTCCCACAGCATTCCCTATGATCCCCCTCACCCCACTGTCAGAGTTTACTTTCCTTCCTTTCCACCATTCACAACCCCACACACACAAGTCATGCCTCCCTCGGTGAACTCAGTCACTATAATAAAGTCTGATGCCACCTCTGCTTTGTGTTCTTCTGTGGTGCAGTGAATTACTTGGTATGACTTTTCTAACCAGCCTATGTAACCTCCACCAGACAACTGGGTAGGACCATGCAAATAAGGTTTATGGAACTCTAATGTGGGATTGTCAAGGAATTCACATTGCTTGGTTCTACAATCGATGCCAACGGAAGCAGCAGTCAGGACATTAGACGTCGTTTAGCATTGGGAAAGTCAACTGCGAAGGAACTGTTTCAAGTGCTGAGGAGCAAGGATATCTCCTTGAGGACTAAGGTGCGCCTGACACAAGCCATGATATTTCCAATCACCTTGTATGCATGTGAGAGCTGGACAATGAATAGGGAAGACCGAAGAAGAGTTGATGCTTTTGAGTTGTGGTGCTGGCGAAGAATGCTGAAAGTACCATGGACTGCTAAAAGAACTAACAGATCTGTCCTGGAGGAAGTGCAGCCAGAATGCTCCTTGGAAGCAAGAATGGCCAGACTTCGTCTCACCTATTTTGGTCATGTTGTAAGAAGGGACCATTCCCTGGAGAAGGATGTCATGCTTGGTAGGGTGGAGGGTCGACGAAAGAGGGGGAGGCCTTCAACGAGATGGATTGATACAGTGGCTGCGATGATGGGCTCGAGTATAGCAGGGATTGTGGGGCTGGTGCGGGATCGGGCAGTGTTTCGTTCTGCTGTGCATGGGGTCGCTATGAGTCGGAAACGACTCGACGGCACTTAACAACAACAACAATGTGGGATTGGTTAGGTGTGTCGTCCTTGCTAAGGCTTAAAATGAACATTCCTGGAGGCAGAAGCGGGGGATCTCACTGCCATCAAAAAAGAAGAGGTGGAGTTGGAGTGGAGCTCATCTTTGAACCTGAGATCCCTGCACTTGACCTCCTTTGCAGAGACAACTGGCTGAGACAACCAGCTGAGAAACCAAGAGGCATGACACAGAGCAGCAGGCTTGCCAGCCTACAGAACTAGAAAGCCAAGTGCCTTTGGGCAGGAGGCTTGCTGGTGGAGTGGGGTGCACCTAAGTGCACCTATTGGCAGAGCTGAAATAGCTTTGTAACACTTGCCCGAGCACAGCAGAGGCCAGGCTGAGAGGCCAAGGGCCAGAGAGGAAACTGTATCCTGAGACTGTATACTGAGATGTGTATCCTGAGCATGTTCCTGAACCTGAATTATAACCTAATGCTTCCCTAATAAACCCCATAATTGTGAGTATTCTCTGTGAGTTCTGTGTGGTCAATGCAACGAATTAACAACTCAGCAGAGAAGTAGTGAGTGCTTGTGGGAGGGACAGTTGGTGTTAGAATTGGTAAAAAGGCTAGAGGGTGGTATGTTTGGCCTCATAGGAATAAGTCTTGGGCTGTTGATAGTGACTGTTTCCCTCTCGTGAGGTTGGAGGGAGTCAGAAGATGTCCCCTCCACATCCTTTTTGCAGCTTCCCTTTAATGAGCTCCACTTTGGTGTAAACCTATGAAATCTATGCCCAGGCTATAGGTGTTTCTGGTCCCCTCTCTACCCCATAACCTCAGAGTTGCTTTTCCCATGACGTAGAAAGGAGCCAGATAAGAACCCAGGAGTCACAGAGTTTACACAACCACACCTGGGTGGGTTTCGCATCCTCCACTAGGGGCCTGGGCAGAAGTGGGGGCTGGTACACAACATGGGGGCCTAGAGGCCTGAGGGGCTGCGGAGGAGGCTGGCAGAGCAAGAGGGCACACTAGGGAGAAGAGTAGAGGCTCTGACTGGGGAAAAACAAAGACAGGACCACCAAGAAGAGATCCAAGAATGGGGCATCTGTGGTGAGGAGAAAGAAAGAAAGGGCTACCACCTTGGAAACCAAGAAGGGGTCACTATGAGTCGGATCCGACTCCACGGCAGTGAGTTTGGTTTGGTTTTGGTAAAGGGCCTCTAGGAGGAGAGGGTGGAAGCAGAAGAACCCTGGTGGAGGAAGGTAAGAGTGGTACAGTCTGGGAACTGAGGAAAAGGAGCAGGATGGTGAATGTCATTCTTTTCTTTTCTTTTTTTAAGGATTTTTTAAAAATTTTATTGTGATTTGGGTGAAAGTTTACAGAGCAAATTCATTTTCCATACAGCAGTTCATACACATTTTGTTTCATTACATTGACTGCAATTCCCCACAGTGTAACAGCTCTCTTCCCAGTTCCACCCTGTAGTTACCTCTTCCCTGTGTCCTTGTTTCCTATGCATTCCTGCCCCTTGAGCTATCTCCGGGTGCAAATACTGCCCTTCTGTTCTTGTATGATTGATTGTTCTAATGAGTGTATCTACCTGATGCCCTATATGCCTGTCCATTGTTTGTCTAGAAGCCAGTTGTTGTTGTTGTTGTTATGTGCCGTCGAGTCGGCCCTGACTCATAGCGACCCCTGCTTGGGTTTCTGAGGCAGTATCACTACGGAAGTAGGATTGCCCAACCTTCCTTCTGAGGAGTGAGTTCAATTCCAGACCTGAAGGGTAACTAGGGGCCATAGTCTCAAAGGTCTCACCAGGCTCTACCAGACCAATAAATGGTCTCTCTCTTTTTTTTTTTTAAATGACTGAGTTTTGTTCCACATTGTTCTCCCACTCTATCCAGGGTCTCCTGTACTGATCCCTTTTTGAGTGGTTGACAGTGGCAACTGGGCACTATCTAACTCTTCTGGTCTCGTGGTCATATAGGCTAAGGTTCGCATGGTCCACAAGTCCCTTGAACTAATTGTTTCCATGCATCTTTGGTTTTCTTCATTCTTCTTTGCTCTGGACAAAGAGAGACCCATTGTTACATCTAGATGGCCTCCTGCAAGCTTTTAAACCTAGTTGCTACTCACCAAATTAGGATGTAGAAGAATGTTTTGTGTAGTGTTATGCCAATTGATGTCCCCTGTGACCATGGTCCCGAGCCCACAGGTCCAACATCTCACTCCATCTGGGTGGCTGATTGTGCCTAAGAAGTTATCATTAACTTTGCCCCCTGTTAGTTCCAGTTATATGGACATTCTTACAGCCCATACAAATACATATGTAGAAATATCCTCTGCCAACCTTGTATATGTTCATGGGTATATTCCCTTTTGCCTAGACATACCTGATCATTCAACCTGTCTACCCATCTATTTACCCATAGATTAATGTTTGTTATCACTATTAATGCAATATGGTATATGTAGAAGGGTTTATCTTTTTTTTTTTTTTTAATTGTGATTTAGGTGAAAATTTACAGAGCAAATTCACTTTCCATACAGCAGTTCACATTCACTGTGTCATGACATTAACTACAATTTACCCCCATGCAACAGGTCCCCTCCTACTTCCTCCCGATAGTTACCTCTTCCCTGTGTCCATCCCTCCATGCACTCTTGCCCCCTGAGCTGCCTCCCTGTGCATAAACAGCCCTTCTTTCTCCCATGAGTGTTCTCTCCAAGGAGTGTACCTACCTCAGGTAAATGTTCAACTCATATGCCTGATTTTTGTTTGGCTGGAAGCCATAGGTGTGGGTTCAATTCCAGACCTGAAGGGCAGCTAGGGGCCATAGTTTCAGTGGTTCCACTAGGCTCTATCAGACCAGCAAACCTAGTCCCCCCACCTTTTTTTCCCCAAAATTATTTTGAGTTTTGTTCCACATTGTTCTCCCTCTCTATCCAGGATCTCCTAGATTCCCCCCTCTGAGTGGTTGACAATGGTAGCCGGGCACCATCTAGTTCTTCTGGTCTCATAGT